TCCCGTCTTCTAAATCCAAAAAAAAATTGAATTTCATTTGTTGTCTTTAATGGAAATTTGGACCCTTCAAATTTAAGGCCTTGTGCAACCTGTACTCCTTCATGGTAGGGCCAGCCTTCCAATATCACAAAGAATCATTTTCTTTCTTGCTTTCCTCCACGTTCTTTAAGAAACTTCAACTTCAAAAATCAAAATTTAGAGTTACAACAAACACCAAAAATGTAAAGGAGAATAGAGAACCAATTAGAATGTGTGAAGAATCAAGCACTTATAATCAACTTTAACCCCCTTGGGATAAAGGTGCCAAACCAGTAGCAATGATAACAAGTTTATGACTATTCCATATTTAACCTTTTGTGAACATGCTAATGACCGAGCCTGCAACAAAATAATTTTAAGGTTAAAACTATAATGATTTGCAAGAAACAGGTTAACAGCAATATGTCAGCATCAAAAATTCATAGCAACAACCGAAACGGATAGTTGCATCATGAAATACAGGGAAAATGGAAAATTACACCAGACAATTCAGATGAAAAAACGACAATATGCAGTTCAGAGGACAAATATTAAAACTCAGTTAATGCCTTGGTGGTCAATTGTCCCCAAAGGCCAAAACATTTGCCAACAAAACCATCATATGATCCTCATTTAGCTTTAGTGACACTATTGACTTTTTCATATCTTTACAAGTGATGAAGGACATGAAGCTTACACCCTTCTTCATTATAAAAGAAATCTTTGAATTATTCAAGGTTACACATAACCTAAAGTATTAAAGAAACATAGAGTAATTATTTATAAAAATATGATCAAACAAAATATAAAAAAATTACCCAAATAATCGGTAAATTTTACCGATTATGTAATGACAAACACAAAACCACCATGAAGGCTTCTTCTCTCTGCAACTCTATTTCTATATACCCCACGCTTATGCTAAAAAACAAAAACAATAAAACATCATTACACAGAAAGTAACATAAACATAAGAAAAGAAATGTATAATGATAACTTTTAAAATAAATAAATAAAATCATTACCCTTGAGCAGTGTATAAGGATTGACAAACACTAACCCTGCAAAGAGGACTGTCATAACTATGTTCACACTTAATCTAATTGTTCATAGTCAACCTAAAATCAAAACATAGAAATATTATACAACAAATATTATAAAAATCATGATAGATTTGTGAAAAAAATATTGACTAAAATGTAACAAACAATACTTTCTACCATATTTCTTCATATCACATGTCGATTTTCCCCATTTCATTGTTGGGTTCTGAAATAAACAAAAAAAATGTGATAAGATCTATATGATAGTCTTAAAATCGAGTGTACAAAAAGGGGGATGATTTTACCAGGTTCTTAAAACATTATCAGATGAGAAGTGTGCAGGGGAGAAGGAGATCCAGATTCTCGATCAAAACCTATAAAGAGAAAACAAAAATCTAATAAGTAAGGTATAAACACAGAAATATCGTATAGTACTTATTGTGAACAAATCAAGAATAAAGCAACAAATCTAAATAGGGAAAAGTTTGTCTAAACCAATCAAGAAGAAACTGATTCGATCATACCCAAATAAAACCCTAGCTTTTGTTTAAATCTGGAAACTCCAACCATAACTTCGTTTCTCTTCCAGTGTACGATGGCAAACCGTGTTGGTGGCATGTGTGTACGCATACAGACAAATGGAGAGAGAAAGAGAATATAAAAAGAGTAAAACCTACAAAATTAATAAAGGAAATAGACAGAGTTATAACTCCATCATGCAATTTATCGAGTGAAAGCCCTAAAACCTAAATAAAAATTGAACCCATCTAACCTTCAAATGCATATTCATATGAACCTATAATATGTGGATGGCAGCGTGAAATAATGGTGCGACAATTAGCGGTTGTTGTTGGAAAACTGGGGTGGGTCGTCGTCGTTGCTGAACCAGACGGAACAATATGAAGCAAAGTCGGTTGGGTATAACATGAAGTAAAAGGATGATTCCACACTAATTTATAAATAGATGGGGCCAAGTTTCGAGGGGATTTGGAGATTCAAATTTGAAAGTAACTATAGTTCCTTGATCGGTGCTAGAATCGGTCCATACAGATAATAAGGGAAAAAGTTCGATATACGGGGAAGAGATAACAGGGTCAGGTTAGGATAAAGAGAGCGAGGAGGGAATGGATTAGATTTTCGTAAATGTTGACCGGATTAGATTTGATAGCATCAAGTCATTGTACATAATGTAATAAGGCTTGTACCTCTTAAAATTCAGCATTTGACTAAATTTGTATAATAAGTAGTAAAGATAAAGATATATTTAGATTTCAAAAGTCATGTTGACTCATTCTAGTCAAAAAGTATGATTTTTTTTTTTTTAAATTTAAATCATTTATATTGGGTAAGATAAGGATGTAGGTTTGAATGTTTCAATATTAATTTTACATTTGTACATAATGCATTGTATTTTGTAATTTGTTGATAAATGTTTGTACATTCAGCTTAAAGGTTTGGACATCTTAAATTTGTTTTTAGAAATAATAAAGTTTGTATAATAAGATAGTATATATATATATATATATATATATATATATATATTATATATATATATATATATATATATATATATATATATATATATATATATGGGTGAGATCCATTGAGCACTCATAGAGTCCCGAGAACTAAAGGTAGATCGTTAGATCAAAATTAACTCATTAAGAGCATAATCGTCCACTTACGAATTTCATTTAATGTTTATTTTTTTGTGCTACTGAAGTATTAATAAAAATCTTTAAAATTTAACATAATAAATCAAAATTTTGGATTTTTTTAAATAATAATTTTTTCTTTTTTTAAAAATGTAGATTTTTTTTTTAAAACATGAACTTTTTTAAACATATTTAAAAAAAATTCTTTAAAAAACTACGATTTTTCTAAACACAACAGTTAAAAAAAACCCTACAATATTTAAGACAAATAAAAAAATTATAATCTTTTAACCAAAAATATCAATGTTTTAGGTACATATATGTATATTTCTTATACTATAATATTCATAAATAAATAATAAAAACACCCATTTCTATTTACTAATCTATAAACACAATTATACAAGTATTTTATTAAAAAACAAGAAATGCTACAAAATTTCAGTGCGTTTTCATATCTTAGTATCAAAATTTCCATATTTCCTTCAGTTTATCACTTTTCACATATTTAATATTTCCACAAATTCTTTCAAATCTACAATAAAATTTAAAAAAATGATTAATGCAAAATCATTCACAAAATGCATCTGTATATATATAATGTAAGATTTACATATGATTATATCATGTACGATTCATATATGACTATATAATGTGATATTCACATATGATTGTATCTTTTAAGATTCAAATGTGAAATTCACAAGAAATTTTTTTTTTTTTTCAGAATAACAATTAAAAAAAAAAATTAATGAATAACACTCACACAAAATGCATGTATGCATATAAACGTAATTCATAGGTGATTCACTTGTGATTTAAATGTAAATCACATGTAATAATATGTGATTCACTTGTTATTATATGTGAATTGTATGTGATTTATATATGAATTACACGTGATTTACATATGAATCACATGTGATTTACATGTGAATCACATGTAATTCATATGTAAATTATATATTTACATGTGAATCTTATGTAATATATATATATATATATATATATATATATATATATATATATATATATATATATATATATATATATATATATATATATATATATAGCTTTTCTTGGCAAAAACGAAAGCCTAAATCAATTTTAGTTGGCAATCGGTTAACAAATACAAGAAATGTCAATTTTATATTATTTATATTTATTGCATTACTTGGCAAAAGAAAAAGCATGGAGAAGTTAAATTACTTCTAAAATGTAAATGATCTTGAAACCCAAAAGATATATGCTTTACAGATTTTGAAATATATGAGAAATACTTAAAAGAAATGTACTTTAGAAATCAAGGGCAAATTGGTCAATTACCTTTAAGCATTCATCTTTTGTAAATCCAAAATAGTCCTTAGCAAGTCCCACAACTATTGGATCCAACTCAACTGCCTAAAAACAAGTAGTACAAGTAAGCAAGCAAGCAAAGATTATAAGCAACTTTTTATTTCAAAACGTTTTTTCTAATTTTTTTTTTTAAAATAATAAATTTGGCATAAAAACTATAAAAAAATGACCTCAAATTTCAAAAATGGAATGCATCCATGGAGAAACAATAGGAAGTAGCCCAGCACCAATACCAATTATAACTACCTTAAACTCGAAAAGTATGAATTTTTTATTCCAATTTCAAGTTGAAAAAGAAAATTGCAAAAATTCTTACTTGTTCCGAACGATACCATTACTTAAAGGTATAAAGAGATGAGCACAAATCTAGATGTTATTCTAGAAAGATAAAAACTTACTAAATATCCATGATCAACATTTTGATAATTGTTTGAATCTATTATATTAGAAAACCAAAGTAAAATAAGATATTAATTGATTTTTTTTAAAGGAAATGATATTTAATTTAAGATAAAAGGAAAAAATGATGCATTTCTTATGTGAGTAATATGTTATGTTTTGGTGATTATATTGATTTGAGATTTAAGTTAATACATATTTAAGAGCAAAATATATTTTAAAAACAACTTTTTTATCAATTTAGCCTTTAGTTTTACTCTATAGTGATTAAACCATTATATGTTTTTGATAGTTAAATATATATGTGATTTACTAGGATCGTGTCAAAATAAAATTGGTAGTTGATGACTTTTTTCAATCTTAAGCATTTAATAGAATGAATAAATACAAATTAAACGGTGAATTACATAAATGGTCGCTATGAATAATGAAATGGTGGGCCAACTTTCTTTTCTAATCATATGGTCCTCATCTTTTTTTCATATAAAAGCAGGGGGATGTTCAAATTTTGGAATTATAAGCCCAGCAATGTGAGTTTTGGGTTGTGGTCCCTCCTAATTAGTTGATCCAATGTTTTGTTGCCAAGAAGCTGATCCAAGATTCCAAGAGAGAGACGATCGTCAATCAGCTTCCGCCTTCTGCCCCAATCTCCCATGCCCCATCCTCAATCTTCATTCAATCGCAAGACGACTCCGCCAAATCAAATCCGTTCGTTGCCAGTCACTTGCTCGTCGACGTTGCCTGGGTGCTGCACCACTGCGGACTGCGGTGCTGCTACAGTGCTACCTGGCACCTGCTGCTGCTCGTCGCCAATCCCCAATTCCCAATTCCCCATCCTCAGGTATGCTTTCAGCTTTAAGCAATTGAGCTTTCAAGTTTCAATTCGGATGTTGTTCAGCATGTTCTTCAGTTCTTGACTTCTTTCCTGTTAGAATTTAGGAATCAAACTAATTTTAGGAGCCTATTTTATGAACTGATATGTCTAGAATGAACTATTTTGTTGCTTTTCTTCTATATTTGATTGTTGTTGGAGTTTTAGGAATCAACTAATTACACATTGCTTATTTTCTTATGAATTGGTTTCTGATTTTTATAGATACAATCTTGTGAAATATGAAAACCATTCATTCTTTCTTCAAAAGAAAGGTTGATAATGAAGAAATTCATGATAAAAATGAAGAGATTAAACGGCACAAAGCTTCAACAAGTGAACCACAACCACAAGAACATGAAAATCAACAAGAGAATGATAGGAATGAAGCCACACAATCAAATCCTAATGAGGTGGTCCAAGCGGATCTTAAGCAACTAGAAAGAGATCCCGCTAAAAGAAAACAAATATGGAAATATCCGGTTAACTTAAGGGAAGAAGTAAGACGAGCCTATATGAGCTTAGGACCTTCCCAAATACGTCTTAAAGAATATAATGCTAAAGGTTCAAAAAAACATCCTCATAGATTTCAATATTCTGGGTTCAACATTTTCCCTAATTGGTTAGAATATTCTCCAACAACACATGCATCCTATTGTTTTATTTGTTTTATATTTAACGATAAACCAAGTGTGTCCCGTGGTTATGATGCATTTACTGTTAAAGGATTTGACAATTGGAAGAAAGTTAATGACGGGAAAAATTGTGCATTCTTCAAGCACATTGGTTGTTCACAACATAGAAATGTTGTTGCATTCGCTGAAAATTTGATGAACCAAGAAGCACACATTGAAAATATCATAATGAAGCAAAATGAAGAGCAAATATTGAAGAATCGTTTACGATTAAAAGCTTCGATTGACACAGTTCGTTGGTTGACATTCCAAGCGTGTACTTTAAGAGGACATGATGAATCTCCTAATTCCAAAAATCGTGGTAATTTTTTGCAACTACTAAAACTTCTAGCATCTTATAATGATGAAGTTGCAAATGTTATATTAGAGAAAGCTCCTTATAATTCAAAATATACTTCTGGAGAAATTCAAAAAGAAATTCTTAGTATTATTGCAAATAAAGTTAGAAAGCATATTCGTAGTGAAGTGGGTGATTCATATTTTTGGGTCATGGTTGATGAGTCACGGGATGAGTCTAAAAAATAGCAAATGCCGATAGTTTTGAGATTTGTTGATGTAGAAGGGATCATACGGGAAAGGTTCTTAGATTTGGTTCATGTTAGGGATACCTTATCATTAACCCTAAAAACAAATATGTGGAGACAACTTTTGCACTATCAGTTTGATGTTAGTAAAATTTGTGGCCAAGGTTATGATGGTGCTAGTAATATGAGAGGGGAATGGAACGGATTACAGGCACTTGTTCTTAAGGATTGTCCTTATGCATATTATGTTCATTGCTTTGCTCACAGATTACAACTAGCATTGGTAGCTGCTTCAAGGGAAATTATTCCTGTACGCCAACTTTTTACAAACTTAATATTTTTAATTAATGTAGTTTGTGCTTCCAGTAAGCATCATGATGAGTTACAAAAGGAGAAGGCAACTGAGATTGAACAATTATTGGAACTAGGTGAAATCGAATCAGGAAAAGGATTGAATCAAGTTGGGACATTAAGAAGAGCTGGTGATACACGTTGGGGTTCTCATTTTCGTTCTGTTTGCAGTTTTCTTAACATGTTTGATTATACTCGTGTTGTTCTCTAGGGAATAATTGGTGACGTATCTGCTACTTATTCTCAACGCGGAGATGCTGATGTCGCTTACTGTTTTCTAAAATCATTTGAGTTTGTGTTTATTCTTCACTTGATAAAGGAAATAATGAGGAAAACTGATGTACTTTCTCAAGCTCTACAAAAGAAATCTCAAGATATTCTTAATGCCATGGAGTTAGTATCAGCAACAAAGGAAAGTCGAAAGGAATTCAGAAACAAGGGATGTGACTATTTACTTGTACAGGTAAAGTTTTTTTTTGTGAAAAACATCAAATAGATATGCCGGATACGAATGCTCCATATACTTCTACTTGATACCGGCCTCGAAAAACAGATAATCATGTTACTTTTGAACATTTTTATCGAGTGGATTTGTTTACAACCACATTAGACAAACAGTTACATGAGTTGAATAGTAGATTCAATGATCATGCGATGGAGCTATTAAGTCTTAGTTCTACTTTAGTTTCAAAAGAACACCCTAAAGTGATTAAAGTTGATCAAATTTGTCGTCTTGTTGAGAAGTATTATCCAGAAGATTTTACGGAGCAAGAGAGAATCCAATTAAGATATCAATTGGAGATTTTTAATATTGATATGACAAAGAATCCCAAGCTTAGTGGTGTATCAACTATTGTTGACTTATGCAAGGGTCTTGTGGAAACTCAGAAACGTGAGACGTATTATTTGCTTGATAGAGTTGTACGGTTAATCTTGACACTGCCAGTTTCTACCGCAACAACAGAGAGGGGATTTTCAGCAATGAAAATATTCAAGAACCGTCTTCACAATACGATGTCGGATGACTTTCTCGCAAACAACTTGGTGGTTTACATAGAAAGAGAAATTGCTGAAAACATTGATTCGAAGTCGGTAATTGGTGAATTCAAAAACCTTAAAGGTCGTCGGGCTGAGTTGTAATTCTTTCTGTAGTTATTTTTTGTGTTTATTTGTAAAAACAAATTTGATTTGGATGAATGTTCATAAAATGTTCATCCTTATGATGTCATGTATTGCTTTCTCCTATATTTCTCAAAATCTAACCAAAAAATTGTTACGAATCATAAATTGGAATAGGTTCATCATTCATGAAGTCAAAGTGAAGTTAACATGTGATATTTTTCATTGACGCATTTCATCGAACACGTTGAATGCAAACAAATATGTATATTTTTCAATAACACAAGCATCTATTTTTATACCTACAATCAACACAAGGATTTAACGATTTTTAAAAATATATTGACTAAACATGTTCAACTTAACGATTAGGCAAAAACAATTCATAACGATCAAACAAAGGTCAGGAATACCTAATTTTTCATCAACAAATACAAAATTTAGAGTGAGATCGAAGCTCATAAAAATCTGATCTCAGAGGTTAGGTAAATAGAGACCCTCGCCAGATCGAAGTGATCCAAAAATGTGATTTGATGATTACTGTTGCAATCGAGCATGAAAACGAACAACACCATTCTCTTGGCTCGTGGATTCGTCGTCATTGATATGACGAATAAGGACCGTGGATTTGTAGTTGCGGTTGATCATTAGAAGAGGTAGTAGTGGTGGATGGAAGGAGGAGGGATGCGGTAGATGGAGAGGGACTGTGAGTGAGATGGTCATTGTTTGAGCGAGAGAGGAAAAACGGGCGGGAAGAGAGAGAGAGAGAGAGAGAGAGAGAGAGGGAGAGAGAGAGAGAGAGAGAGATGAAAATTTATTTTATGAGATATTAGATTTAAGAAATGATGTAATTATACTTTTATTTCCTATAATACACCTTACTGAATTAATTAAGATATCCTTCCTTCTTCTTTTTTGTATTTATTTACAAAAACGTCACCTTTCATCCCAACCTTTTTTTAATCTAACATTTCATTTTTAGTTCTTGGAAAGTTCTCAAAGGATATTTCTTCTCCCTCTCTCTCTCTCTCTCTCTATATATATATATATATATATATATATATATATATATATATATATATATATATATATATATATATATAGACACACATACACACACCAGTAGTTTACCCACGCTAGGCATCGGGTGTAAATATTTTATTTAGAAATTAGTGTAGAAATGATGAGTTTGTTTGAGCAAATAGTTTACTACATATAAACAAACTATCAATAAAAGTAATGCTAGCATAAATGAAATCAGTAAAATGTAAAAATAAAAAGTTGGGATTCTTTAACAATGTATATGGACACATGATGAATTCTACATTATTAATCATGTTACACTTCTTTATACACCACATTTGATGTATAGACTTCGTTGTCCTTGAATTGTTTGTCAGACTTCACTATTACTTTTGTATTGACACATAATATCTGTTTGGATAATGTCACATAAAGTTGGTCATGCAAGAAAACCGATTTTGGAAGATAAATACTTACATTTGGAATTGCGTGTCGAGGAGCTTTGTTGATTATCATCATGAAACATAATCAAATTGAAAATTGTTTTCTCTTCAGATTGAATGGGAGCATGTGATCTTCAAATGGATATTGATGAATCATTGACAAAAATATCTTCTTTTCAACATGTTGACGAACAACTATTTCGGTATCAATGACTTTATGCTTAAAACTTTTACATATAAATTGGTCACCGTTACACATTCCATTTGAGAATTAGAAAATTCTACTTAAGTACTTCAAAATTCTAATTTCCCTAAATCACATTCTACATTTATTATTTACTAGAAAATATTCCCCTACGTTGCCGGGGTCAGAAGGTATTGCTTTGTAAAGTAAAGTAGCATGTTGAATTGCATTGAGATAATCTAGTAAAGGAAGATAAACAATGTCACATAATTACATAAGTAACGAAATCTAAATCATTATTTCTTGCAATAAATGAGGAAAATAAAGAAATTGTCTCACAAATTGAACTTCATTGCCATGTATGGCACCGGCCGAAAACCAATCCGGAAAATATAGACCATTGTTTTTTGTTCGTTCATGTGAGGATAATTTGGTCTTTTAAGGTAGTAATGACTGAATTTGTGACGACGGGTAAACCATATGGACCATTTATGTAACTTTGGCGGTGGTGGTGGTGGTGGTGATGGCAGTTGGTGGGTGGCTTTATGGTATTGGGTGGGTATTTTCTAATAAATAAAACATTAATTTAAAACCAAAAAGAGAAATATAAATTATTAAAAAAATCGGATTAGGAGTAAAAGACTGATTTTGGTTTTCATCGTTGTCCTCAATGTGTTAAATTTGGTAAACTACAGGGACCAATCGTGTAATTTTGTCTAACAATAATAATAATAATAATAATAATAATAATAATAATAATAATAATAATAATAATAATAATGAGGGACCATTTCTGCCAAAATACTAAATACTAATAATATGTAATAAAGGCCAGGGTTATGAAAAATTCAAATGAAAGTGAAAGAGTTATTTGTGAACAAAAGCATAAAGGTGAAGGGTCAATGTTTTTTAAGTAGTTTTTTAAAACCAACATAAGTTGGAGGACCAAAAGCGACAGAAAAAATGGACAAAAAAAGAGGAGCAAACATACATAACCTTAGGGACCAATCTTGCCAAACACTTAGAAATTTTACTATTGTTAACTTTCATATATATATATATATATATATATATATATATATATATATATATATATATATATATATATATATATAT